ACGGGACAGAAAGGGTGAGCCCTGGGAGAGTCCCGCGAGTGGCCGGGTTGTCGCCGCTGGCCGAGCAGGAGTCGGAGAGACCCGCGGAGAGAAGCGGCCCTTCCTGCTCGCTAGTCACCCCCAGCAGTTCCCCCCGATCCTGCGCCACTGTCCGGTTGAACTGAACTGTCCCTTTGATTGCAGGGACAGCGGAAGCCCCCCAGAGCCGGGTCAGAAACAAGACAATCACACAGATAATGAAATAAACAGACCAGCTGGACGCTCAGTCACCAGGAGTGGAGAAAGTGTAACAGCAGCTCACAGCAGAGACGCACAATTCCACACGTGCAGGTTGTCGGAGAATTACGGCATCTCCGACGCGTCGTGACGTCACCCCCGTCCAATCACGTCACAACAACTATCCCCCCCCCCCGAACTATCAATATGAAATATCGATCGTTATCACTGATCAGTAACACAGCTGCTATGAACAATAACACACCCGCGCTTCGAAACGTACTGCTACCGCCAGACTGCTCGTGATGAGCAGACGAGCTGGACTGAGTGTCCTGGTCACGGGCCGTGACGGAACGACTGTCTCTTCAAAGCACTGACCGCACGAGACGCGAGCGACGCCACGCTCCCACCGCACGCGCCGTGGGCTGTCCCGGGCTGTGCAGCGCGACCGGACCGGGACACCTCGAGCTGAAGGGCACCCCCCTCCTGCCTACAGTACACGAGGCGGGACGTGGGGGCGCGTCGCTCGTGTTGACACCGCTGAGGCACACGCGTGGTAAATATTTACCTTTACATATAAATGCTCACATTTCCACAACACAAACAAAGAGCGAACCAGGGCGCGTCAGGGGTTTTCCCGGGCCGCCGGCGCTATAGGAACCCGTTCGCTTGCAGGCGTGTTTGTGTTTTTGTTCAATGCATCACGGCGGGGGGCGTCCTTGCACACCAGTGTTTTTCTCACGACGGCGGAAACTTTACCGCTCGTGCTCCCACCCCACCGAGCCGAGCCGTGACGTGACCCTGCTCACACCCCTCGGACCCGACCGGACCGAGCCGAGCGGGTGCCGTTACCCCGTGCATCCGCTCCGACGTGCGCCGCTCTCCGCCCGGGCTGGTGCCGGTACCGGTACCGGTGCCCTCCTCCCTCTCCGGTTCAGCCACGCGGAACGACACGGCAATCAGCGCCGACTGCAACACTGCTGTAGCCACGCGCGCTCCCCGGCTCCAGCCGCGCGGATCCCATTAAGAATCTCCTCTGCTCGACCCCCCTCTGGAAAACCCGCACTTCCTACAGAACAAGAATGTGGCTGAAAACTCGAGTCCCCCGTCTGTGGCGGACCTGCACTAACGCTGCCCCCTAGTGTCGCGGAGTCACCGCCGGGAGCCCGTTTCACCGCGGGGCTCCTGGGATCAGGGCACTGCTGTAATAATAATAATAATAATAATAATAATAATAATAATAATAATAAT